GTGTCCTGCTCTCCCCAGAGCTCCGTGTCCTGCTCTCCCCAGAGCTCCGTGTCCTGCTCTCCCCAGAGCTCCGTGTCCTGCTCTCCCCAGAGCTCCGTGTCCCGCTGTCCCCAGAGCTCCGTGTCCCGCTGTCCCCAGAGCTCTGTGTCCTGCTGTCCCCAGAGCTCGGTGTCCTGCTGTCCCCAGAGCTCGGTGTCCTGCTGTCCCCAGAGCTCCGTGTCCCGCTGTCCCCAGCTCCCCCAGGGATGGAGTTGGAGCTCTGTGTCCTGCTGTCCCCAGAGCTCCATGTCCTGCTGTCCTTAGAGCTCCGTGTCCTGCTGTCCCCAGAGCTCCGTGTCCCGCCTGTCCCCAGCTCCCTCAGGGACAGACCCAGCCTGTCCCCAGTTTCCTGTGGATGGCTGATAGATTTGGGTTCCTGCGTCCCACCCGTCCCCGGATTCCTTGGTTTGGGGCTCCAGCTCTCTGTCCCATCCCCATCCCATTCCCAGCTCCGTTCCCAGGATGGCATTTGGGGCTCAGGGAAATTTTCAGCCCTTTCCCCTCAGTTTAACCCCAAAGCCACATCCCGTGAGTTCCCCACCCTGGAACTCACCCCAAACCAGCTCTGCTGGATTCCAGCTCAGCCCAGCCCAGACCGGCCCCGCCAGCCGGTGACAGATGTGGTGACAGATGGGCACAGTGACCGGTGACAGATGAACACTGTGACCGGTGGCAGACACAGTGACTGGTGACAGATACAGTGACAGACACAGTGACTGACACAATGACTGCTGACTGACACAATGACAGACATAGTGACAGGTGACAGGCATAGTGACCAATGACAGGCATAGTGACAGACATAGTGACCGGTGGCAGACACGGTGACAGAGACAGTGACCAGTGACAGGCACAGTGACAGACATGGTGACAGAAACAGTGACAAATGACAGACTGGTGTGACAAATGACAGGCACAGTAACCAGTGACAGTGACAGACACAGTGATTGACATAGTGACTGCTGACTGACACGGTGACAGAGACAGTGACCAGTGACAGGCATAGTGACAGACATGATGACAGAAACAGTGACAAATGACAGACCGGTGTGACAAATGACAGGCACAGTAACCAGTGACAGTGACTGGTGACAGGCACAGTGACTGACACAGTGACTGCTGACTGACACGGTGACAGACATAGTGACCAGTGACAGGCATAGTGACCAATGACAGGCATAGTGACAGACACAGTGACTGGTGACAGACACAGTGACCGGTGACAGATATGGTGACAGAAACAGTGATTGGTGACAGACATGGTGACAGAAACAGTGACAAATGACAGACACAGTGACCGGTGGCAGACACAGTGACAGACACAGTGACTGCTGACTGACACGGTGACAAAGACAGTCACCAGTGATAGGCATAGTGACAGACATGACTGGAGACAGACATGGTGACAGAAACAGTGACAAATGACAGACCGGTGTGACAAATGACAGGCACAGTAACCAGTGACAGTGACCGGTGACAGACACAGTGACTGGTGACAGACACAGTGACTGACACAAGGACTGCTGACTGACACGGTGACAGAGACAGCGACCAGTGACAGGCATAGTGACAGACATGGTGACTGAAACAGTGATCGGTGACAGACACGGTGACAGGCATGGTAACCATTGACAGAGATGGTGACAGAGACAGTGACCGGTGACAGACATGGTGACAGACACAGTGACTGACACAGTGACTGCTGACTGACACAATGACAGACATAGTGACCAGTGACGGGCATAGTGACCAATGACAGGCATAGTGACAGACACGGTGACCGGTGGCAGACACGGTGACAGAGACAGTGACCAGTGACAGGCACAGTGACAGACATGGTGACAGAAACAGTGACAAATGACAGGCACAGTAACCAGTGACAGTGACCGGTGACAGACACAGTGACAGACACAGTGATTGACATAGTGACTGCTGACTGACATGATGACAGACATAGTGACCAATGAGAGGCATAGTGACAGACACGGTGACTGGTGACAGATATGGTGACAGAAACAGTGATTGGTGACAGACATGGTGACAGAAACAGTGACAAATGACAGACACAGTGACAGACACAGTGACAGACACAGTGACTGCTGACTGACACGATGACAGACATAGTGACCAGTGGCAGGCACAGTGACCAATGACAGTCGTAGTGACGGACAGAGTGCCTGGTGACAGACACGGTGACCAGTGACAGACATGGTGACGGAAACAATGATTGGTGACAGACACAGTGACAGAAACAGTGACAAATGACAGACACAGTGACCGGTGGCAGACACAGTGACAGACACAGTAACTGCTGACTGACACAGTGACAGTGACCAGTAACAGGCATAGTGACAGACATGACCGGAGACGGATATGGTGACAGAAACACTGACAAATGACAGACACAGTGACTGGTGACAGACACGGTGACAAAAACAGTGAACGGTGACAGAAACAGTGACAGAGTCAGACACAGTAACTGCTGACTGATACGGAGACAGTGACCAGTGACAGACATAGTGACAGACATGACTGGAGACAGACACGGTGACAGAAACAGTGACAAATGACAGACATAGTGACCGGTGACAGACACGGTGACAGGTGACCAATGACAAAAACTTTGACCAGTAACAGCCGTGGCAGCCCCAACTGCCCACCCCTCAAACCCACCCTCGGGTCACCTCCCTGCCGGCCGTCCCCACGCGTGGCCGTGGCGGTGACAGTGGTGACAGTGATGGTGACAGTGGCGGTGACAGTGGTGACAGTGACGGTGACAGTCACTCACCGCTCCGTAGAACGCCGGGGTCAGGTCGGGCACGAACATCTCGGGGTACACGTTCTGCAGGTACCACGTGAAGTTCCTGCAGTGCAGCCGCTCCCGCAGCCGGCGCCGCTCCGTGATGTCACCAAACGTCTTCTGTCCACCCAGGCAGGGGGGAAAATTAAATTAACTTTGTGAATTTTTTCAATTTGTGAAAAAAATTTATGATTTTTTTTTTTTAATTTGTGAAAAAAAGGGGAAAATCCCCCCAAAAAACCCCATCCTGAGGTGGGAGTCACCCCAGCTTTGTCATTGTCCCTCACGGTGTGACAGCACTGAGATAAGTGGRAAGGGGGTCACAGGCTCCAACAAAGAGCTCAGAGATATTTTAGCACAAAGTTTTGGGTGTTGTGTAAAAAACTAAAAATTTAAAAAAAAAATTAAAAAAGCTTAATATCATAATATCATAAAAAATAATGTTTTCCTATTAGGAAAAAAAATTAATTCATTAAAAATCATAATATCATAGGAAACAATGTTTTTCTACTAGGAAAAAAATTAATACATTTAAAAAAAATCATAACATAAAATCATAAAAATTAATGTTCTCTTACTAGGAAAGAAAAAAATAATTAATTAAAAATCATAATATCATAAAATAATAATTAAAAAAATTTCCTCCTGGGAAACAAATAATAATTCATAAAAAAAAAGTCATAATATCATAAAATCATTAAAAATAACATTTTCTTACTAGGAAACAAACTAATTCATTCAAAGATCATAATATCATAAAATCACAAAAAATAATGTTTTCCTACTAGGAAACAAAAATTAATTCAATAAAAAATCATAATATCATAAGAAATAATGTTTTCCTACTAGGAAAAAAAATAATTCATTGAAAAAATCATAATATCATAAAATAATAAAAAAAAATTCCTACCGGGAAACAAAAAATAATTCATAAACAAATCATATTATCATAATACCGTAATACCATAAAAAAAAAAATATTTTCCTGCTAGGAAACAACCTGGCCAAAGAGAAAAAGCAATAAAAAGTAGGTTTTTGTCTACTTCTGTCCACCCGTACGTGATTTCTCACCCCTTCCCCCTGCTCAGGTGGAGCTCCCAGCCGGACCAGCCCCTCCCAGTAAAACCAGCAGCCCCCTCCCAGTGCTCCCAGTACCTCTCTGGCCATCTGCGAGGCCTGCTGGTTGCGGCGGTAGAAGATCTCCTTGTATTCGTCCATCCACACCTCGGCCAGGCGCACCTGGTTGCGGGAGATGACCTGCGTGCCCTTGGGGAAGGTGTGCGGGCTCTTGGAGCGGAACACGTGTCCCACCACCGAGCAGGGGATGATCTCCACCTGTCCCCCGCACTGCCACACCTGCGGGGACGACACACCTGAGGTCCGGCTGTCCGGCCGCTCCATCACGGAGCTCCGTGGAGGTGGCCCTGGGAAGGTGACACACCACACTGTCCCTTACCCTAAAGGACATTTCCACGTTCTCGCCCCCCCAAATCTCCATCTGGTCGTCGTAGGAGCCGATGTGCTCGAAGTAGGACTTGGAGATAGCGAAGAGGCCGCCGGCGAAGGTTGGGGACCTGCGGGTGGGGGTGAAGAAGGGGTTAAACACGAATAAAAAGCAGAAATGTGAGTTTGGGGACATCACAGAGCCAAAATCGGGGTCCTCGCAGGCAGCTGTGGTGGCTTTGGTGGACAGGCATAGTGGACAGACATAGTGACCAATGACAGACATGGTGACCAGTGGCAGACACAGTGGCCAATGACAGACATGGTGAACAGACACAGACACAGTGACAGACAGACATAGTGACTGGTGACAGACACAGTGACCGGTGACAGACATGGTGATGGACGCAGTGACCAGTGACAGACACAGTGACCGGTGACAGACACAGTGACAGACACAGTGAGCAGTGACACAGTGACAGTCATAGTGACCGGTGACAGACACAGTGACAGATGGACACAGTAACTGGTGACACAGTGAGAGAGACAGTGACCCGTGATGGACACAGTGACAGACAGACACAGTGACCGGTGACAGACATGGTGATGGACACAGTGACCAGTCACGGACATTGTGACAGACAGACACAGTGACCGGTGACACAGTGACTGGTAACACAGTGACAGACATAGTGACCGGTGACAGACACAGTGACCGGTGACAGACACAGTGACCGGTGACAGACACAGTGACAGACAGACACAGGGACAAGTGACAGACAGACACAGTGACTGGTGACAGACCCAGTGACCAGTGACACAGTGACAGACACAGTGACAGACACAGTGACTGCTGACTGACATGGTGACAGACAGACATAGTGACCAGCGATGGACACGGTAACAGCCACGGTGACTGGTGAAACAGTGACAGACATAGTGACCAATGACAGACACAGTGACCAGTGACAGACACAGTGACCAGTGACAGACACAGTGACAGACACGGTGGCCGGTGACACAGTGACATAGTGACCGGTGACAGACACGGTGACAGATGGACACAGTAACTGGTGACACAGTGAGAGACACAGTGACCCGTGATGGACACAGTGACAGACAGACAGTTACCGGTCATAGACACAGTGACCAGTGACGGACACGGTGACAGACACAGTGACCAGTGACAGATGTGGTGACAGACAGACACAGTGACCGGTGACACGGTGATCAGTGACATGGTGACAGACACAGTGACCAGTGACAGATGTGGTGACAGACAAACACAGTGACCGGTGACACGGTGATCAGTGACATGGTGACAGGCACAGTGATCAGTGACAGACATGGTGACAGACACAGTGAGCAGTGACACAGTGACAGTCATAGTGACTGGTCACAGACACAGTGACAGATGGACACAGTGAGAGACACAGTGACCCGTGATGGACACAGTGACAGACAGTGACCGGTGACAGACACAGCGACCAGTGACAGACATGATGACAGATACAGTGACCAGTGACAGACATAGTGACCAACGACGGACATGATGACCAGTGACGGACATGGTGACCAGTGATGGACACGGTGACCGACACAGTGGCCGGTGACACAGTGACATAGTGACTGGTGACAGACACAGTGACAGATGAACACAGTGACTGGTGACACAGTGAGACACACAGTGACCTGTGATGGACACAGTGACAGACACAACGACCACTCACAGACACAGTGACAGACACAGTGACCAGTGACAGACACAGTGACCGGTCACAGACAGTTACCGGTGACAGACACAGTGACCAGTGACAGACGTGGTGACAGACACAGTGACCAGTGACACGGTGACAGACATAGTGACCAATGACATGATGATCAGACATGGTGACAGACATAGTGACACGGTGACAGACACAGTGACCAGTCACAGACATGGTGACAAACACAGTGACCGGTGACAGACACAGTGACCAGTCACAGACATGGTGACAAACACAGTGACCGGTGACAGACACAGTGACCAGTGAAGGACATGGTGACAGACAGACACAGTGACTGGTGACACGGTGACAGAGAGACACAGTGACCAGTGACAAACACAGGGACACGGGTGAGGCTGTGCTCAGCTGCTGGGAGGGGACAGAAGTGACAGCGCGACACGGAGGGGCCCCACTGCCAGCTGAATCCCAAGAGAAAAGGGGACATTGTCACCAAAAACCTGTCACCAAAAAGAGGGGGAGGTCACAGCTCGCCTCCCCACGCCCTCCTCCCGCTTCCCTAATCTTTTCCATCTCAGGCTGGAACAGAAACTCGCTTTTATTCAGGAAAAACAACAACCCCCGAGGACTGGCTGAGCTGCTGGACATGAAGGTAAAAGGGACCTTTATTGGGGACAGGAGCGTCTCCCAGGTGACCCGAGSACAAAGCCAGCCCCGCGGCCGGGCTGGGGACGGGGCCAGCGGGGTGTCCGGTGTCTGCCCGGCTTATCCYGGGGCACCGGCCGAGAGGAGGGAAAAGCGCTCGGGGTTTCTCTGAAAGGGAAATAAAGGGGTGAAAAGAGGGATTTTGGGGCAGCCTGACCCACGGGTGACTTGTTCTGCGGGGGTACATTGGTGTTTGAGAGTGAGAAGGTGCAGACGACAAAAAAATCTTTAGTGAGAGACTCCGGCAGAGCGAGAGGTGGCCATTCCGAGGTCTGTGGTGGCCCCGCGGGTCCCCCATCACCCCACAACTCTGAACCCCGGGATCCTCCACGCCAAAAATCCATGAGGAAAAC